TCTCTTAGCGTTTGGTTTATACCTGCTCTTCGTCTCCACACTATTTTGCATCATGCCTGATCATTCAAGTGTCATCCCCCACCACTATCCAAAAGTCAGGGGTCCGTATCCTTTGTCCTATCTCCTTCCCCCACACACATACCCCAGCCCTTAACCCTTTTATGTAGACAGTGGGCACTCAGTACAGAGCTATTCAGTTGGAAGCAGTTGTTAAGAGAACATTCAGCTTTAGTAAGCTTGCCCCCTAAATCTTTTCAATCTGGTTGTTCTACTGGAGGAGGAAAAGAAGGCAAAAAGCCGCAGTTCAGCTGCTCCTGACACACTTTGCTTAGACTCTAACCCCCTCTAGTGGAGAGATGGAGAACCTTCCATTTGTTTGGCAGATATTGACAACAGGAGTTACCAATGAGCTTCCACTGTGAAAGACTGAACGCATCTATCAATCACCCAACCCGCATTTATTAAGACAGTAGGCTAAGTACTGGAGGTGCAGAGATAGAGTCGGAATAGTTCCTGCCCCTGGCAAGCTTACATTCTCTAAGGAGACAAAGTAAACTCAATCTCTATAACAAACACAAGACGATTGGTTTGGGGGAGGCCCTCGAAGCTGGGGGAATCATGAGGCCAAAGGGCAAACAGTGGCTTCTCGAGAGACTTCTGACTGGGGGCTTCTTCAGGACCATAAGTCTGATGCTCCCGAGATGACCAAGGGGAGGTGAGGTGAGGGTTATAGTCTTACCTTTTGTTGGAGCCAGACGACCTCCCATTTGACATCAGTTACATGCAAGGTTCAAAGTCAAAGCAAACCTGGAAAGGTTGCCACGTACTTGAAGGTTACCTGTGTTCATTGCTACCCAGAATTCCTTTAAAGCAATCAAGACTCAAACCCACCCAGGGGCTAAGGAGGGGGGGGGGAGCGGAATCACGCAGCGCTGAAACGGTATCCCCAGTAGGGGCACTGTGTGAAGCACTGGGGAGGCAAAGAAAGACAAAGACAGCCTTTCCCTCAGAAAGTGGAGATTTTCATGACTTTATTGATTAAACTTGGAGGGTATAAACCATAGTAGGTCGGACCACTTCCACCTCCCACTGAAAAAACTTCTGAGTGGCTCCCTGTTATCTCCAGTATCAACTATAGAATCCTCTGTTTGGCATTCAAAGCTCTTCATAACCTATACCTTTCTACCTTTCTAGTCTCCTGCTTTACCCACATCCAGGTGTGCTAAAATACAGCAAGACCATTCTACTTGCAGTTCCCCAAACACAACACACCATTTTCACTGGCTGTGCCCCATGCCTAGAAGGCTCTGTGCTCTCTCTCCCCTTCTCTCTCTGTCTCTCCCTCAGTCTCTTTTTCTCTCTGTCTCTTCCTCCCTCCCTCTGTTTCTGTTTGTCTCTGTCTCTCTTTGTCTCTATGTCTCTCTCTCTCTCTCTCTCTCTCTCTCTCTCTCTCTCTCTCTCTCTCTCTCTCTCTCTCTCTCTCCCTGGTTTCCACCAAGTCTCAGCTACAATCTCTCCTTTTGCAGGAGGCCTTTCCTAATCCCTCCAACTCCTAGTGCCTTCCCTCCCTCTGAGGTGACCTTCCCACCACTCTACATGTGTCTTGAATGTACTTTGTTTTCAACATGTTGTCTCCCCCATTACAATGTACTCTCCTTAGGGCCAAAGACTGTGTTTTTGCCTGTCTCTGCAGCCCCTTGCTTGGCATAGAGCCTGGTACACAGTGGGCATTTAATAAATGCTTATTGACTAATTGATTTCATCAGTCTAGAGAGTGTGCCAGGTGTGGAACTTCTACCAGTGAGGGTGGACACTTTCTCTACTACTTAAAAGCTTGGAGCCTTGTCTGGGGCATTAACGAGGTTAAGTGACATGGTCACAGAATCAGTACGTGATACAGGCAGGACTCTTCCTAACTCCAACCCCAGCTCTCTAGCCAGTGAGAGGATATAATTGTAGGGCTCCCTATCAATTCTTCCTCGCTCTTGACACCAGATCAGCCCCTCTTCCTTTTTGATTGGACATTTCCATGACAACTTTCAATACTATTTCTCTTATATAAATTCCTTGTTTATACTGTTAGAATAGAAACTCTTTGAGGGCAGGAACTCACAATTTATCCCCAGCAGGTAGCGCAGTGCCTAGCACATAGTAGGTACTTAATAAATGCTTATCAGTTGTCTGGTTGATAGTTAATGTATTGAAGCCTACTCATGCCCACTAAATGTTTCTCCATTGCCCTTTGGGCAATTCTGATCTTCAATTTTGATGGAGGGATTGTTAGTTCATAAAACTGGCATTCATGTAAGACCTTGAATTCCCACATTCTGTCACACCCATCATTTTATTTGAGCCTTACAACAATCTTGTAAGTAGTTATTACAGATTTGTTATCATCATCATCATGCCCATTTTCCAGATGAAGAAACTGAGAATCAGAGAGAGCAAATGATTTCCCAAGGTCACACAGCTAATGAGTACCACAGGCAGGATTCAGATCTTGTCGCCTCCAGATCCAGCAACCCATCCATCATAGTACTCTGCCTCTCAGCTCCTCTCCCTATTAAAACCTGATCTCCAGAAAGCATCATAAGATTCATTGATAACAATAGAGTGACACCCCATTCCCAGGATTTTCCTTTTAACAAGAGGGAAGTGGATGGGGGAAGGGTGTCAAAGAATTCAGCCAAAGGAATGAAGCTGCAATGACAAAATTTCAGACTTCAGTGAACAAAAGAATATTTGGACTCACCCTTTCCTACTCTATCTATTCAAAAGTTCAGTCCTATGTAGAATTGGGTTCGCTAGGTGGTGCCATAGTACATAGAGTGCTGGGCCTGGAAGACTCATCTTCCTAAATTCAATCCACTCTCAGACACTTGCCCACCTATGTGACCTTGGGCAAGTCACTTAACCCCCTTTGTTTCAGTTTCTTCATGTATAAAAGGAGCTGGAAAAGGACTTGGCAAACCTCTCTCTCTTTTGCTTTTTTTGGTGAGGTAATCAGGTTTAAGTGATTTGCCCAGAGTCACACAGCTAGTAAGAGTCAGAGGCTGGATTTGAACTCAGGTCCTCCTGACTCCAAGGCCAGAGCTCTATCCACCTTGCTGTCCCCCCAAGTCTCTTTGCCAAGAAAACCCCAAATGGGGTCATAGAGAGCCAGACACAACCAAACAACAGCAAATGGAGAGTTTGGGCTTTCTTACCTATTTGAAAGAAAGAGTGAGTAGGAAAAGCTCCCTCAGTGTCTTCTCCTAGTTTGGGCACAGTTGGGGTGAGAGGCCCCCTCCCCTGACCTAGCAAATGAAATGCCAAGATGGAAAATGAAATCCAAAAGTATGTAAAATAAAACAAATCGATATTTCTTTTTTTTTTTGACACATTCTGGAATACACATACACACAAACAAGCCGACAATTTGAGATGCACACACACTTAGCTTCTCATTGCCTGACCTTGACCCTCCCCGAGGACAGCCCTATTAGTGGCAGCCTGGATCCCAGTTATAGGAGAATAATTCACTCATCGGTCTTTGATCCTTCTGCCAGGGGCTTCCATGATACAATGAGCTCTGGGGACATGATACAGGTGTCACATTTCACTTGGCTCCAGCCCCCACCCAGAAACCTGGGAAAAATCTCTTCCCTGCAACCAGTCAGCTGGCTCTCTTCAGCTGAAAGCATGTTGGCCACCCTTGCAATAAATGAATAAGATACCAGCGAACATTGCATGTTCTACAAATAGTAAATCAGTAATATGCCTCAGAAACCGAGAGCCCTGCTAGGTCACTGAGGTATATTTCAGGTTAAGAGCTAGAGAAAATATACCCAGCTACTCAGTTTTGCCTCTTTTTTGTATCCCTACCATTCAGCACAGTGCCTGGCACATAGCAGGCGCTTAATAAACATTTACTGACCGATGATTTGGTTAACACAGGCCCCGGTGCCTCCAAGTTTGAACTAAATGCCACTGTGTAGGTGTCCCTAGAGCTAGAAAGGACCTCAGAGCCACCTAATACTGAGACTTTTATCTGGACATCCTCCAGGAAATCTTACCTCATCCTTCAGTCCAAACCATAGGTTCATATTAAGATCTTAGGCTAGAAAGGACCTCAGGGCACATCATTTTACATCTGGAGAAACTGAAGCCAAGGGATAGGTAGTGTGACTGGGCCAAGATCAATAGGTAGTAAGGGCCAATGCTGAAATGGGACCCGTCCTCTGACCTCAGAGCCACACCATGCTGCCTCGCCAAATCCCTACGTTGCCTTGTCTTTTTTCAATTCTTCCAGTGTGGCTTATATCAATTGCTACATATTCTGTTAGAAGACAGGCGTACCAGTTGACTATTGGTGATGACACTGGAGATCCAACGATTTTGGAAAAGAATTTGGAATTATGTTTTGAAAGTAAAGTAGACCTAAAGTAGACCTTTTGATTCAGCAACACTACTTCTAGGCATATACTCTAAAGAAGATGAAAACAAAGGGAAATCAATCATAAACATTTATTAAGCACCTACTATGTGCCTACTACTCAACTCTCTGATGAGCACTGGGCATACCAAAAGAGGCAAAACACATCCCTGCCCTCAAGGAGCTCACACTCTAATTGGGGAGACAACATTCAAACAGCCAGGTACAAACAAGCTCTGTATGAGTTAGAGAGGAAACAATGAACAGGCGGAAGGCATTCGAATTAAGAGGGGCTGGGAGATGCTTCCTCTGAAAGCTAGGGACTGAAAAGAAGTCGGGGAAGTCAATAGGCAGAGTTGAGGAGGGCAAGTATTCTAGGAACGAGAGTTCCAGCTACAGAAAATGCCCAGAGCTGAGATGAAGTGTTGTGTTTATGGACCAGCCAAGAGGCCAGAGCTGCTGGATTGTGGAAGGAATTTCCTCACCGTGTGAGTACAATAGCGAGTCCTACCCCGGCCCTCGAAGGCCGTTGCGCATAAGTAGATGCCTAACAAATACCTGATAAGCTCATGAGTGAAAAACATACCTAAATATTTTGCTGCCTTGAAACTAATGTGGCATTGTTCCCAGCAGAGGGCAACCAAGAACTTTCAAATCTCGAGATTGAGAGAAATTCTGTTTTGGCAGCTCTTCCGTGGTTAGCTGAAATGCATTCTGACAGACGTGTGGATTCCTCAAGGTACCAACTGTGGTTTAGAGAAAAGAGATTAAACAAAAACATTATCTTTGCCTTCCTCTTCACCCCATCAAAAGGAAATGATCTCTACTATATATTGAAATGAATAACATGGCTTTCTTTTTCCAGAAATTATCATCTGAACCACAGATCAAATAATTATCTTTTTCTTTTCCTGAGGATATTTGACCCATGTAACCAAGACCTTCTCTAAAAGTGAGAGCTGACAGCCACATGGTGCACTGTGCTTCCCAAAATGCTTTATAAACATGAGCTCATTTGATCCTCACAAAACCCAGAATTATCAGGCAATCAAGTGGAACTTATTCAGGGGAAACCTTGACAGCAGGGCCAATGTTGGGACAGCCAGGGTTTATGGTCACTTAACAAGCAGTACCTAGACTTTGATAAACTCTACATCAGTATGTATCCATCAGTCAACTGATCAAAGATCAAACACTGTTTTCTATGTGCCACTCTCTGTCCTAAGGAACAAGAATGAAAACAAAGGGGGAAAATGTAAAACAATCACTGCCTTCGAAAGCCTCGAATTTAGTGGAGAAGATAACACATAAATAATTAGATATATACAAGATACAGAGTAGATGGAAAATAACCTTAGAGGAAGTTATTTCAGCTGGGAGAAGACGAGGAAAGGTCTCCTGCAGAAAGTAGCATTTGAGCTGAGTCTTCAAGGATGCCCTAGATTCTAAAAGGCAGAGGAGAAGAGAGAAAAGTGCTCCAGGCATGTAGGATAGCCAGGGCAAAAGTGTAGCATTAGGAAATGGAGTTTCATATGTAAGAAATAATAAATAGGTTAGTCTGGTTGAAATGTAGAATGTGTGGAGATGAGTAAAATATAAAAAGACTGGAAAGTACCACATTTTGAAAGGGAAAACCAGGAGATTTTCTATTTGATCCTGGAGGTAACTGGAAGCCGCGGGAGCTTGTTGGAGTATGGGGGAGGGCTCAACATGATTCAGTGACTTACAGGATATGCAGAGTGAATGAGACTGTATAGAGTATGACAAGATTGGGAACCTAGATCACTGGGAAGACAGAGGTGCCTTCCACAGTGAGAGAGAGGGTCTGGAAAGGAGAGGCTTGAGGGGTGAGTGGGGATAATGAGTGACGTGTTGAGTTTGAGAAGATATCCCATTTGAGACACAACACTGACAGTCAGGGAAGAGATGGTCAATAGATATACAGAATAAATACAAGTTAGTTCTAGAAGGGAGGCCACTAGGAGCGGAGAAGATTCAGAAAACCTTTATGGATAAGATAAAGTTTTACCTGAGTCTGGAAGGAAGCAAGAGATTCCACAAGGTGGAGGGGAGGATGGACCAACCTCAGACACTCGGACACAGATGTGGCCAGTGCAAAGGCATGGAGGTGAGTGATAGAGGAGTATGAGAACAAGTAGATCAGCCCCATTTTATAGATGAGGAAACTAAGGCTCTGAAAGATCAAGAGAAATGTTCACAGTCACACAAAAGATAATCCAGCAAATAAAGCACAGTTAGGATAAGTGGGAATCAAGATGATTTTGTATAATCACTTCAATTCCTACCTACCATAAACAAAGAGGATCAACCTTGAAGGAGTGCTGATGTCATTTATTCTCATAGTAGAATTGCTATTGCACAGAGTTAGGAGCCACCTTGTGTTAAATAAGAGCAAGAATTTTCTTTTAAAAGACAAGTCAAGAGGGTGGCAAGGTGGTGCAGTGGATAGAGCACTGGCCCTGGATTCAGGAGGACCTGAGTTCAAATCTGGCCCCAGATACATAACACTTACTAGCTGTGTGACCCTGGGCAAGTCACTTAACCCCATTGCCTTCAAAATAAATAAATAAATAAATAAATGAAAATCAGGTGAGATCCATGCTAAGGAGGTAGAATGATGTACGATGATTCAGTCTGAGAAGGAGCAGTCAGTAAGACAAGGAGGAGAACCGGGAGAGAGCGGTATCATGGAAGCCAAGGGAAGAGTGTCTTGGAAGCTATGAGGACCTACTGGGGAATAAGTTCAGAAAAAGAACCACTGACTTAGCTTTTAAAGAGTCATTAGTGACCTTAGAGAAAATGGATTCAGCCCAGAGATGTAGGAGTCAGGTGTCATATTACAAGGAATTCAGAAATGAATATACAGTGAGAAGGTGGAAGCAGGGAGTAGGTAATAAAGGAGTTTCTCAGTGAAAAGGAACAAAGATATTGGATGATAATTTGAAGAGACATCAGGCCAAATGAGAGATTTTTTTTTTGAGGAGAGGAAGTCTTCAGCCACATCTACAAAATGTTAATAATAATACTTGCAACTAACACAACTCTGAGCTTTCACCTATCATCTATTAAACTGGCAAAGATGACAAATGATTGAAGTTGAAAATGCTGGTGGGGCTGGCCAAAGACAGGCATACTCATTCACTGGTGAGGGAGATATAGATTGGTCAACAACTTTAGAAAAAAATTTGGAATCATATTTCAATAGTCCCTAAATTATACCTTTTGATCCAGCAATACTAATCCTAGGCATATACTCTAGAGAAGACAAAATCAAAAAGAAAATACAAAATTATTTATAATACCTCTTATTGTTGTAGGAAAGAAGTGGAAGAAAAACGAGAGTCCATTAATCGGGGAGTGGGGGAGCCAGTAACAACACATAAATGCAATGGAATACTATTATGTCATAGAGTATGATGAATATACAGAATTCAGAGAAAAGTAGAAACCCTTGCATGAACAGAAGAGAACTGAAGTAAGCTGAACCAGGAAAGCAATTTCTATGACAACAATAATGTAAAGCAATGCAACAGAACAACTTCAACACTGATTTAGTCATCAATGATGCCTTCAGAGAAGTGAAGGTAAAGTAGTGATGTCCAGTACTTGATAGAAGTTACCATGTTACCTTCTGGCAAAGAGGTTCAGAAGGAGGCATACTTGACTTCTAAAAGAAAATTCTTGCTCTCATCTAACACGGGGTAGCTCCTAACTCTGTGTGAGAGCGATTGTACTAAGAGAATAAATGACATCAGGACTCCTTCAAGGTTGATCCCCTTTGTTTATGGTAAGTTGAGTCCAGGATTCCGCATTGATTTCTTTTATTTGGGCTTATTTGTTACAGGAGAGTATGTATGAGTGGAATCACGGGAGAGTAATAGTGATGGGGGTTTTTAATAGTTCATGAATAAGACTTTACAAAAGAATCTACTGTCTTTCTGCCTCAAAGCATCGTGGATGTCAGCCAATCAGTCAGCCAACAAGTATTAAGCATCTACTATGTTCCAGGTTCTGTGCTAAGTTTCAGCATTACAAAGAAAGGCAAGACAGTCACTGCTCTCAAGGAGCCCATGAAGGAAACAACATGCAAATGATTAATTTTTATTTTATTTTTTTTATTTTCAAACAAGCTATATAAAAAATAAATTGTGATAGTCTCAGAAGGAAAGCACTAACTTTTAAGGGGGGTGGGGTAGGCTTTTTCAGGAAAATGGGATGTGAGTTGAGACTTGAAAGAAGCCAGGAAAGCCAGGAGGTCCAGATGTGGAGGGAAGAATTTCCAGGCATGGGCTACAGCCAGGGAAAATGCCCAGGGCCAGGACATGGAGTGTCTAGAGTGAGGGACAGCAGGAAGCAGGCTCACCGGCTCTCAGAGTACTTGGTGGTAAAAAGTCTTCAGCAAACCTAATCAATTTACATTTACTAGTAGATTGCATACCCCTTGAGGTTAGGAAAGGTGTCTCCTTAGTCTTGATTTCCCCAACAGGCTTAACGCAGAGTAAACACTCAATAAACGCCTTTTGGGTGTTTGAAAACTGAACTGAAATCAACTAATTCTACAGCTCTGCTAATCGGCTTTGCTAAAATGCAATCAGAATACTGCAGGTCAGCGTGGGACACGTTTTCAGAGAACACATTTCACCTAGTGCTAAGCAACTATGACGTAATGTTGCCAGTGATATTTATTAACAGTCTTTGGAGGTAGACACTCAAGGCTGAAAACTGAGCTGTCCTTTAAGCACCTCTTGTCACTTGCAGAGACTCAAATTGCTTTTTTGTACATGATCCCGTTGGTATTTGGCCATCCCTCAAAAGACTGGAGGCCTATGGTAATTTTCATGGTAATTTGTTAAGAAGTACATAAGGAGAAGCAAAAGTAATAGCCACTCCTGATAATGCAATGTGATACAATCCATTCACCAAGAGTCTTCTCCCTGGGAGGCCCTGGAAACACATATACAAAAAGGAGACAGTATAGATCTTCAATGAGCTTACTATCTACTGAAATATTAGCACCAGGTTCTTTGGCATAAAAAGCCCAGAACTACCCATTGGAACATAACTATTTCAACGACTGATAGCTTAGAAGATGAGTTATATTCTACTGTGTTTCAGAATAAGAACCTTCATAGAACACCAGGATCTGAACCCAGGTCTTCTGGCTCCAAACTGAACTACACCACCATTCCTAAGAGATGGCTTAGCACACAATGAAAATCTGTTTCCTGTGGGGTTTGTTTTCCCCAAATGCCCCCCTGAGCCTGACCTTTTAGTAATAATAATAGCATTTATAGCTTGCAAAGTACTTTACTAATATTTCATTTGATCCTCACAATAGCCCTGGGAAGAAAGTGCTATTATTATCTTTATTTTACAGATAAGGAAGGCAGATAGAACTTAAGTGACTTACCCAGGGTCATACAGCCAGTAAGTGTCTAAAGCTGGTTTTGAACTCAGGTCTACCCTGACTCTAAGTTCAGTGTGCTATACGCTGAACCACCAAGCTATCTCAGCGTTCCTATAACACATTTTGAATTTTACCCCAATTATCCTGCCCTCTGCGAAGGGCACTACAGCTCTGAGGTGCCAGATTTAGAAAGAGGAAAATTCTGTGTCCTGTGAGATCGAGAGGTCAGAACGACCACCTTAATTTCCCCTAAATTCCTCACCCTTTCTCTCCGCCCCCTCATCACAACAAATGTTAGAGGAAGTCAAAATTAGCCCC